CATCCCTAATTAAAGTACTTAACTTTTATTCTGTGTCTGACTGAAATTTCGGGTCCTCAAGTTCTGATCGTTACAGAAAAATCTGGCCAAAAATGGACCCTTCGTCAGCACAAGAGTGGCGCAGCAATGTTGAAAGTGCTATCAGTCGACTAAATACTGGCATGAATGAAATTATTACCACGCTGCGTAACATGTCTTCTCCTCCTGACCAGGCACAACCACAGTCACCTCCCGAACCAGCACCTGCAGTTCAGCCCGCTGTGGTCAGGGAGCCTCGTCTGACTCCTCCCGAGCTCTTCAAGGGAGACTCTGACCAGTGCCGTGCTTTCCTTACTCAGTGTGAGATCCACTTTGAGTTGCAGCCCTCCTCTTTCCCTTCTGAACGTTCTAAAGTGGCGTTTGTTATCTCACTTCTGTCCGGTAAGGCCAAACAGTGGGGCACAGCTGAGTGGCAGAATTTATCTGATTCCTGTCTGTCTTATTCTGCGTTTTCTAAAGAACTGATCAGGGTTTTTGACCCCATCCTACCTCAGAGAGAGGCTGCTAGGGGGTTACTATCCTTGAAGCAGGGTAGTAAGAGTGTAGCTTCTTATATCATCGATTTTCACTTGTTATCTGCAGATAGTAGTTGGAATCAGGAGGCATTAATGGATGTGTTCATGCAAGGGCTTAATGAGAATATTAAGGATGAGTTGGCCACTCGAGATTATCCTAAGTCTCTCAAGGACCTTGAAGATTTGGCAACTAGGATAGATCTTCGTCTCACTGAAAGGAGAAGAGAGAGACATCAAGTGGAGGCCTCATCAGCCCCATTTGGCCACAAAGGTCCTCGCTCTGATACCACAAGCTTCTCCCCTCCCTCAGTGGTGGCACCAGATCCTGAACCGATGCAGTTGGGGAGAACAAGGATCTCCATGGAGGAACGTGCTCGCAGAAGGCAGTTTAATTTATGTTTTTACTGCGGAGGCAAGGGTCACATGGCAGCTAAGTGCCCATCAAAAGGGCAGGCTCAGTAGAGGTTAGGGGTGATCTACTGAGCCATAGCATATTATCCATCTCCCCATCGTTTTCCTTCTCTGCTAACCTTGTGGTCTCCTCCATTCCCCACCAGGTATCAGTCTTCATTGATTCCGGGGCTGATACTGAGTTCATGGATGAATCTTTTGCCAGGGGCCTCAACATCAAGCTCCTCCACACTTCATCGGTTCATAACGTGCTAGCTTTGGACGGACATCATATTAGCCGATCCAATCTCGTCACAGAAAAGGTCAGTCTGTCCCTTGGGGGTAATCATCAGGAGGAGATCACTTTTGTTATAATCCACTCACCACAGCTACCCATTGTTTTGGGGGCCTCATGGCTTAACAAGCACAACCCCCACATTGACTGGCAGGCCAAAGAGATTTTGGGCTGGTCCAGGTCCTGCTCTGCCACCTGTTTGCTCTCTGCTTGCACCCCATCTGTTCCAGACAATGCCATTGAGGAAACTTACCCGGACTTATCCAAGGTGCCACCGGATTACCATGAACTTAAGGAGGTGTTCAATAAGTCCAGGGCCACAGCCCTTCCCCCTCATAGGCCCTATGACTGTGCAATTGAGCTCCTTCCAGGTACGTCACCCCCTAAGGGGCGTTTATATCCTCTATCTGCTCCTGAGAACCAAGCTATGAGGAAGTATGTAGAGGATTCCCTCAAGGCTGGAATCATTCGCCCATCCTCGTCGCCTGCTGGTGCAGGTTTTTTTTTCGTAGGCAAGAAGGATGGGTCTCTAAGACCATGTATAGATTACAGGGGTCTTAATGACATAACTGTTAAGAATCGGTATCCTCTTCCCCTCATGAATTCAGCTTTTGATCAGATCCAGGGAGCTAAGATCTTCACTAAGCTAGACCTGCGCAATGCGTACCACCTTGTTCGCATCAGAGAGGGGGACGAATGGAAGACTGCATTTAACACCCCCACTGGTCATTACGAGTACTTGGTCATGCCTTTTGGGTTAACCAATGCTCCAGCAGTCTTCCAAGCTCTGGTCAATGAT